ATTAAGAAATACTTATATGTATAAATCACTTATAATGCCTACCCAATACCTCGGAAATATGGATCAAATCAAAGGACCGAATAGTATAGAGGAGGTATTTTTTTCATTTCACCTAATGGTTAGTGCAATTCTTACCAGTTCAAAAGTTTTGATCATTTTTGTTTTAGTCTATGCACACTCTTATTCTAATTACATTATGTTTTCTGTATTCACTTATAGAAGTAATAGTAAGCATTTCTTTAATTCATTATTTTTCAGAGTAAAATGTCATTAATAACACTTCAAGTGGAACGCTTTTGTTTTGGCCATCAAGAGATATTAAATTTTCAACTGATTTTCCTGGGAAAATGTTACACTAGGGAGAGTTAACTGTTTCACGGTTTATCAACAGACAGTATATAAGAGTACAGACAGACAGACAGACAGACAAAAATTTTACTGATTGCATTTTTGGCATCAGTATCAATCACGTATCAACCCCTGGTAGTTATTTTGAAAATATATTTAATGTGCAGAATTGACCTCTCTACAGATTTATTATAAGTATATACCTATAGATAGTGTACTTATTTCATAATATGTAGGTACTCTCAGTAAATTATTTTCTTAAGCCTTTGACTGCCGACAAAAACTGTTGAAGGCTAACCCTCCGCTAGCGTCGGTCAGCACTGTCCGACATGGCGGTCTAAGTGTTAACTAAGGATAACATTGTATCAACTAAAAAAATAAGTCAACAATAAAGAAAGTAGTTATGATTGTAAATGCATACCTATATTTCAGTATTAATTTGTTACCATAAATAGTAATTTGTTATACATTTATTTTTGGAATAATTTTAGTAGATAGTAGGTAAATCACTCAATGTCGGCGGCCATTCCATTCGAATCTCGGAGGAGAGGACGAACGCTTGAAATTGATATATTTTTTTGGAATTGATCTATACTAATAATATAAAGAGGTAAAATTTGTAAGTTTGTATGTAGGGGGTAATCTTTGGAACCGCTGGTCAGATTTCCAAAATTCTTTCACTGATAGATAGCTACAATGTTGCTGAGCGCTATAGGCTATAAAACATCACGCTACAAATAGAGCCGAGCAGCGGGTGAAACCGCGCGAGAGTAGCTAGTATTAAATAAGTGTTGAAGCATACCGGTTTTTATTCCCACATCCTGCTTATCGGAATTAGACCATAGATGGCTATTTTAAATTGTTAGGCGGCGAGCTACTTTTGATCGCCGCCATTCTATGCTCCACCGTGTCCTCCGGTTCGTCCTAACTGTTAGAACGCATTGCGCAGTAAAACTGGAGCATTACTTACCTACTTATTTTGGTTAAGACCAGGCAACAGCGATCTCGTCAACCATTTAAATTGCAAATGCGAACCCTCTTATGCAATGACAAATGCTGTTAATAGTGATGATTATAAATTGCTATTCATAACTTCAGAGAATAACACAATACATTGTGATTCCACTGGTGTGCTCATCGCTTGCCATCAGATATATCATCTGCCTCCTATGCCATAATAGTACATTATGGTATGTACAAGCAATAATATAAGTAAAATCGTACAGATAGGTTACGTAAACAACATTCGATTTTCAAAAACAGCACACTTATGCACACATAATTAATCGTATGACTTGTAGTTAAAGTGGGATGGCATGATTCAATAATCGCGAGTGAAAAAGAGCCAAATATGAAATAGTGTGGCTAGCTATAGCGCTTGTAACCTATCTACACCTTGTACAAGTTTGTAAAGTTGGTGATTACCGCTGAGGCGCATTGAGCCCGAGCCGTTAGACGAAGGTCTCAAGGAGCTGAGGACGGTAATCATCAATACACACGTGAATCATACGACGTTTTTCAACTTCTGAATAAAATAATAGGTACTTAAATTATTTTATTCGTTACGTGTCTGATTGCCGTGAAATTAGAGCCACTTTATGAGGAAGTGTGTTAAAAAAAATTTACACGAATTATGTCTCTCTCTCAATCTCAGCATTATATCTTTTTTAACACATATGTGTAAATTCAATAGTAGATACCTACTTATATTATATCTAGCGCGATAGAAAAGGAAAATCAGTATCAATAAAAAATAACACCAGATTACATCTCAATAATTTTTATTTACAAATAATTAAAAAATATGTGATTCGACGTCACAATAACAAATCTACACTGTACTTATCAATTAAACATGTAAACGTATGTACTGGAGGTGTACCGCACTCGGATTCATTAAAACAATACAATCCTGTTCTTAAGAAAAAAATCTTCACACAACGTACAGACAACACGTCAATCTACTACAATCTGTCAAAAAACTTTATTCCATTTTTAACTTTATTCTTATTACTTAAATTCAAAAATTCATTGAAGTAGCTTTTACTGGCGTATCAGTACTTAAACGTACAAAAAGGTTACTTTAAAAATGTGCGTTTTGTGGCAGACTTTTTTTAAACATCTCAAATATAGAATCTCAGATTTAAATTCAGAAGTACACAAATAATTATAAAAAGAGGTTCAAAGGTTGATTATAAAAAAAGTTTCAATAAGAAAGAGGAGTAACTATAAATAAGTTTGTATTTTTATAATAATTTCGCTCCACAAATAGTTTTAGATATAAGTAGAAATTATTTAATGTAATAGACGGTTACAGGTTCCTTTTATATCTAAAATCCAGAGGTATTATTCTCTAAAACTAAGCGTAGACTAGTAAAATTGTGTTCGCTATTACGAAGAGACGTTACATTTTTAATCTTACAAAGTATTTTTTTAATATTACGGCAACAAACAACAAAAATTCAGCTAAAAGCTACCACTGAGAAGTAAATTGTAACTAGGACAGAATACACACATACATAGATATTTGAAGTTAAACACTTTTCAAACTTATCATCAAAGGCGTAAGGTTAAAAAGTGATTAGCAACAAAGACGAAGATATATTTATAATAACTATAAAAAGAATGTGTGGTTATCTATTTTTGATCTAGATATGAGAGAGAATAATACAAAAAAAATGCATAATTTCAACAATTCTCTACTAATATTCGATTTTTTAAACAATGACGTGTTTTTAAGGTTATTTAATTAATTATTTTGCAATCAATACAATATTTTCTAGTTCAATCTCCAAACAATTACTCTATACCAATAACTCAATTCATTATTTAAAGTTACAACATTGCTAGTTTAAAATATATATTTTCTGCAATATTTTTTACTCTAGCAACACGCATTTTAATGTCACTGTCATATCTATACTTTAGGTTAATAGAAGAATATTTTACTAAGACAAGTGTTCTTTATTATTAAAGCCAACTTAAAAATAACTTTAATTTGCTCCTATTCAATAAACATAAGTAGATGGACAAAACTAAATATAAAATAGATATAATATAGCAACATTGCACTTGTTATAAATAATGCACACTTTTATATATTAAGGAACAATATTTGTTTATTAAATTCGTTATATCAACTAAGTATTAGATTCATTAAATTGAAATTAGGTATTTTTCATGCAAACCTACCAATTCATTTCTGACACAAAATAATTTCATTTATGTAAAATTTATTAAGATTTATTTTAGTACATTTAATTTTTTTACGTATGTCATCAAATTTTCAAACTAGCAACTTTTCGTTGTAAGCAAAAACAATTATTATGCCGTTACATTTCATTCACAATTAGTACCAAATTTCATTGTACTTTTTATTATTTAAATTTTCAATCGCAACCGATAATTATGTAATTACTTATCCCTCCCAATGTAACACACTATATTTCACTAAACACTTCTCAATGACTATTATATATAATATAATAAATAATTATACTATATATAAAATGATCACTCAAAAAAGTATGTATCTCTATGTACAATATTAAAAATAATATTGCACAATCCACTTAGGAAAACTGAACTTACCCGTCGAGAGTTTAAAGTTCAATATTGGATAAAACTGCACAGGCGAAATACAGCGTGGTATAAAAGGGTATAGATTGTTTATATAATTATATTTCGTAACATTAACAGGACAAAACATCACACCAATATGAAACGAAAATAATGAATTGTTAGCCTAATTTATTCTAGTAAACAATTTTACACAAACGCCCAGCCTTTTATTATATTAATTGATTACATTATAGTATATATGTAGACTAATCACGGCTACAATACTTCGACATAACACGAAAACATTGATTTAAATTTATTGATTTAGATCTTCACATATCCTAGGTCTAAAAACCTTAAACAATACATTACTAGTTCAAAATTTTATCTATTCGACCAAAAAGGTTTCTACACACTTGTATTTTACCTCCACACATTTGTGACAATAAATATATATCCATAAACAATGCCCATTCAAAGAAAAAAATATATCAACATGTATATTTAATAATATCTAAATAGTATTTATATATTTTGATGAATATAAAAGTGTATATATAACAGACAGAATACAGCGCAGAATGTAGTATAAAAAAGATCATTACGAACAGTACAGAGATAACAGAAAATTATCCTAAACATTTATTTATTCTTATATTTATACTATTTTAATTGTGATTATAATGTTTAATTCATTCAATATTATTTACAGGGATTTTAGTATTAATTTGTTACAAAAAAACATCTTTGACTAACACTAATTATAAATGTCTAATCACTAGCCATGTAAATCGCAATTAAAGAAATAATTATATTATGCATTGAAAACATATATTGTCATAATAATTAAATAATTAATAATGTCTATTGACCATATTTTTTATCTTTGGATTATATAAAAAAAATGTTATTTAAGCGTAAACTACCGTTATAACAACAAAAAACTTATATTGTTGAACGCTCAAAACTTTTATCATGCGCAACTTTTTAGCATTTGCGCAAACTACGTTATATCAATAGCGCAAACTTTAACAGTGTTGCGCAAACCAGGAGATAATCCTGGTTTGCGCAACATTATATATATATCATCATAGCGTAATATTTAATTAGAAATATATAATTACTATGACAATATGTGCTTTTCAAAGTCACTCAGTCCCATTAGTAGATATCATTTACTGAGTGATGTATTGAAGTGATGTGTTGAGGACGAACGCTTTCTATTGTGTTACGGGACTGACAACTATATGAAGCAAAGGTCTACGCCCACTAACACAGTATATTAGCTAAATAAAACGTCACGTGGGTAAGTGGGCCAAAAACCTTCTTTTAAATTACAACAGAACATATAAATATATATTTATTTACCTATTTATTAACGCTACGTGCGCCATATATTGGCTCTAATCGTATTAGCTGTAATTTCGTATAAACACTTGCTCCCAAACAATTACTATCATACATAATTTAACTTTATAGATAATAATATTATGCCTGAACCATTTTGTAGTTTTGCTATTATTATTATTATTTCATTATTATGTTTATAAAATTGAGCACATACTTATGCGGTAAAATCGTAGTAAAACTAGTGTATAAAATGCACAGATTAAAAAATAAAATGCACGATACAACTATTTGATATTTCAGTCAGGTTGAAGGTTTTGTCACGGAAACCGTAATGTTCAAACAAATACACTGGCATTTTACTAAAAAAAAAAGTTAACATTAGCTCAAGAATCTAATAAATAACCAAAATATTGGCGTATGTTAATTAGTATATACAAATAGTATCTAGGTTTGTCCAAATAACATATATAACGCATGCATTGCTGTTTGTTGTAATATGGCTCATAATGGCGGTCTAGCCGACACTCGGACAACAAAACTCAACAGTAACCCACAACATTGCTTAGAACCCACCCACTAGTGGTCCCACAATCCTTCAGAAACTGCTATCCCCGAACTACATTTCAATATTCATCCAAGACACCTTAACTTTACCATGATAATAAATTTTGCTAAACCTACAACTCTCAGATCCTCTTGCATACAAATTTCGACTCTAACAGTCAGGTATAAGATTCACAATTTTCCGATAACTGTAACTGGATCAGCGTCGTTGCATTTATCGATCTTACCACTGGGTAAACTATATGTAAAGTTGATAGCTGGCAGCGACTAAGATTTATTCAGATCAGCGTCGTTGCAATTTAGACCGTAACACTTACAAGTAGGGTTAATAGTCCCACGCCTTAGTTGAGGTTTTTAACGGTTTCGTTGTAATTAGGACCGTATTGCCTTGACTTAAGGTCGTGTGGTCACTTACAGGTGTGACTCGTAGTTGGTTTGATGTCAGAGTTGTGTGTCGGAGGGGTTGGTGAGTGCCACGGATGCGTCGGGCGCGGGTTTGTCGGCGGGGTTCATGTCAATGCGACCCGCCTTACTCCATACCAACATGTCCATTATGCACGCTAGGAACATTAGGAATGACGACAAACCTGTAATAGAAGATAGTAGCATTGTAATACATATCATAGCATGGTATCTACTAAAGAATAATAATAATAATAGTCCTTTAACAATCTCCTACGAGATTTGCCTAGTTTTTCTATACAGGCGTATTTTTGTTTGCCTCATCGTCATCACACAATCAAGCACTTGTCTTATCGAAAGTTAAATTGGCTCAAATGCCTCGTCTAGAAGACACGCTGCTATATCGTTTTCTCCTGTGTCGTGGATGCGTTTACAAACATACAATTTCATAAGGTTGTTCCGTGCAGGAATCAAACCCGACAAGTGAAATAAGAAAGAGGATGAATATATGTGAAGATGAATAAATGTAAGAGTGGTAGACGCACCTAGATAGAAGTGTCGGAAGCTGTCGTTGTCGTATGAGACGCATGCGCCGAGCATGCCGCAGACGGCGTCGCGCGCGCGGCACGCCGCGTCCACAGCCGCGCCGAACACGATCGGGCACGGCACGTTGCCGAACACTCCTATCGCGAACTGGATCACCCCCATCGCCATCGCTTTATCTGCACAACAATATCACAATTAACCTGTTGTCTGCCGGTATATAACAAACAATATAAAACACATTGTGTCTCGCGTGGACCTGCGTTCCAGGGGTTATCACGGGTTAAAATACAATTATAACTCATAAAATAAAACACAAACAACTTTCTACTAACAATTTACATAGAAATGTGCTTCTTTTTAGATACATAGTTATGTATGTGTTTGAAAATTATTAACTACTATATTTAATTAACTTCGTTCCCTATGAACCCCTAGAGTGGCTCGAACCTAGTCGAGTTCCGTCTAAAAAGTTACGTAAGTAAGCCTTAAAATATAATATTAAACGAAGATACTTCACGATAAGTCATACAAAGTTATGAGTCAAACCTTGTCTATCGGTGCACCGTATGATGAGTAGTACGGAGCCGACCTCCCCGCTGGCGTGCACGAACATGAGCGCGGCGAAGATGGCCACGAACACGTAGATCTGAGAGCACGGGCCCCCGCACTCGCCGCTCACCGCGAAACCGAGCGGACGCGACAATATGTCCTCCGATGAATTGTATAGGTTGTAACGCTCAATTCTGTAAAGATAAATAATAAAATACCATATTTTATTAGTTCTACAAAATTAGCCAAGTTTAGCGACTAATTAAATAATACCTTGCAATAAAAATATCTACACAAAAATCCAGTAAAACAATATTTTCCCTACTTCAGGATTTTCTTCTGTGACTACAAACAAAACAACAATTGTGGTTCAAGCAAAGATTTGTTACGTCTGGGAATCGACCCTTTTTGGTGAGGGAAAAATCATGTCTTCTCTAATTCAGGGTGGGGCGAGCTTCCGAATTAAACCTTTCGTGCGATTTTCAACTTTAGAATAATAATAAAATACGTTAAAAATTTACTTGCAGCGCATAACAACCCAAAAAATCGGGGTGGATTTCATAAAAAGTCCATTGTGACAAAAAGTAAATTATATGCCAAACTTACGTGTCCATTGCCTTCTCTCCGCGCTTGGTGCCGTCGATGCAGGAGCAGTTGGTGTACATCCACGTGTTGTTGTCCAGCTGGTAACTGTCCAGGCAGCCCGCCTGGCATGGCGATAGGTACGTGTACGAATCCTGGAACCAACAATAAATACATTGTGTTAAGAAACTTATTCTATCCAAAGGTTTTTAAATTGGTTTTTTTTCTTTTCTTTTTATACAAATTCTTTCTTCTTAAAGGGCTTCTTCTTCTATCTCTTGCTTACTATGTCTTTGGACACAGGCATCGCCATGCATTTTCATGGGAAAATTAAGTGCATTAGGCAAAGATTTCGAGACAGAAAAAAACATTATAAGAAATGTTTAATGCGGTTATATTGACAAGAATCAGAAAAGAACGCTGAAATAAAATATAGTTTCCAACTAGTCAAATTCAATATGTACTTTTATTCATATGTCAAAGAAAAACTTCCTTATGGACCATTTATCGAAATTAAATACCAAGCCCTGTGCTCGACAGGGTCCATAGTGATTCTGCTATATTTTTATTTATAAGACCAAGTGTACACTATGGAACGCAATAGAGTATTGAGTAAGATAGTCTGCTATGAAATTTGTCTTGTATACGACATAGCACTATGGGACAATGAGGATACTTTAAAAAAAATAGCTAAGAAATATCGACAGATCAATAAATGAAAGTATAGTTATTTTTCAAGATTTTATTGTTGACTTAGTTCTGTTTTTGTTAAAGTTACCTAGGGAATAATTTTGATGCTGTTGCGTCAGAATATTTGTATAAGACAGTGACAGCAACAATTTTATTCTTCAGATAGATAACATTTATCTGACTATTGAAAAATCAGCCCTGAGGAAGGTACCCAATGACTCAAGAAAACATAAGTTGACATTATTTAAAGAAAAAAACGCTTGTAACTGATATAGAAGAATTATCAATTAAACATGACTAACCTGTCCACAAACGGGATTGAATGCCACATCAGCGCAGTAACAGCCAGCGCTGCACTCCACGCTACTGTTGGCGATGCTGCCTCCTTCACTGATCATCCTGTAATTCTCTTCAGGACAGCTGACGAACATTAACAGAATCATACCTAGAAATAAAACATTCATAATTAAATCCACATTTTTTTTTATAATAATCTATCTTTAAATATATAATTCTGCTGTACGTGTGTATGTCATTGAACTCCTCCTAAACGGCTTGACCCATTTAAATGAATTTTTCTGTATTCGTTTGAGTGGCGCCCTGGATGGTTTAGATTCACAAATCAGGCCGGAAGATGGCGCTGATTGCTTGAAAAAGCATATGATCTCGGAAACAGCCGATTTCGAAACCCTAATCCCAAAAAGGAAGGCAACCGGCAACGCAATCGTAACCACTGGTGTTGCGGGTGTTCATGTGCGGCGCCGATGGCTTACAAGGTAATTCGTTTCCCGGCTTACCTCCAATAACTGCTATCTCCAACCCGCTTGTCATGGTTTATGGAAAACTAAGAAGGATACTGAAGTATGTTAAAGTCTGACTCTCTCTGATGGCATAACAACTAATACAGTAACATGTTCTTACCAGCACTATAAATGGCGGCGCTCGTAGCTGTCCAAGCTGCAACCTGTCGAGCTGTAGGCACCAGCTTCAGTATCACAATCCCAGCCGTAATTGTACCCAAACCCATCACCAGAATGCCGCCAAGACCTGGAACATTAACCAATAAATATGTTAAAATGGGTATTAAAGATTATAAATGCATGTTATTACAAGAAATATAGTAAATTTTGTAATGTTTTAAATATTTAATAGGGAAGCGAAAATGTCAACATCATATCAAATAATGTTTAACGAAATTCTGTCAGTGGTTTCGACCGCATTAACCTGATTAAAAGGAGTACAGTATACTCCTTTTAGTGTCCAGACTATTATGTATCTCTGTGCCTAATTTCATCAATACCGAAAGACTAACCCATCCTTTATAAAAACTTTGGCTTTTCAGCACCCTAAAGCAGCAAGCAAGCAGACTTCCACATATATTAGGCGTAGGTACACTTTATACCCGTTATTCCCATAATTTGTCTCAATCCTTTCACAAATTTCAACGAGTATCAACAAAAAAATGTGTTAAGTAATTCTTTAAACCAAACATTTCCTGATAGGTTATAAAATACCCTTTATAATACATTCCTAGAGATGCATTGTGAGGTCATGCATCGAAATTCAATTAACAACGCGATAAGAATCGGAGCACGATCTTCGCTTATTAAAAAAAAGGGAACACAATGTCACAAGGTCCTTTTAAAAATCAATTCTTTCTCGTCTTTCTAAAGAACCCTAATCGTCCTGATCAGGGATTTAATAATGGAAGAATTAACCAAATATTCTTCAATAGGGCGAAAACTATCCTTTACAAATATGAATGGGACCAGTAAAATAAATAGTTCTCAGCAAATTCATTCTTTTCTGTGATAAATGATAATTCTTTTTCGATTCAGGGCCCCGCATAAGGGTCGCTACAATAGGTCAAAAGAAATAATAAAAGAGAAAAAGTCAGACGCATTAAAAAGTATTATTTTCTTTTATCAGCTTTTTAGTAAGGATTTGATGTATGTTAAATAAGGTCGCTTCTATGAATACATTATCACTTTGAAACTTGTTTAAAGCATAATATTTTGTAGCATGATTTTTTTTTATGTCAAAGGTCGGCAACCAAGCTTATGAATTACCTACATGATGGTAACGATCTACCTCAATGATATTGAGGTAGATATATTTTTCATACCAATTCTGTAGATGACTAAGTACATAGTTACGTGAAATAAACGAGAAAACCTCAACTAGTTTCAAGTTACAACGGGACTCTTATTCGTAATCGGCGTGCACTTCGTAAGTAATTCTTTTGAGTATTAAAAAATATGACTAATTGCAATTTCAATTGTTCAAGAGAACAATATTTTTTACCAAATCGTATAACCTATAAATCAAGTGTGGAATAGTAAAATATGGCTGAGCTGTATTATATTACATTAATTTGTTGTTCACCCACATTTGCAATAATAAAATATTCTATTATTTGCTGAGTCTATTAAACCAAATTCCTGTCATCAAAGTTTACCCAATGACCTAGTGGTTCGTGGTTTGCATCGTGGTCGACCACGAATACCAAGAGTGTTCATTTTAGTACCTCACCCGAGACTAGGTTGGCGTCATGCGTCGGGAGCCGGAACTGCTTCTCCAAGTACTTCGGCAAGAAGCTGTACACCCCACTGATGGGCATCAAGTGAAGTACTGAACTAGCCGTCCGCCACATCAGGATGTCGTTCGTAAGCTGCCTTTTGATCGTGTCTAAGAAATCTGGAAAATGGAGATTGGGAGTGTTATTTATTGTGTCTGTTACCTTAGGCTAATGATGCGAGGTAAAAATCTACTTGTAAAAAAAACATGTATTAACTTAATTAAAGATGTGTTATTGTCAAAGTGTTATTTTTATTTAACTCTAGTTGTCTTCTTCTTCTGAATTTTGTGTCTTTATATACTTACTGGTTTAGTAGGTATTTATAAGAAAGGGTAGGAAAGGAAAGCATTTATTCGATAAATCTAATGAAAATGTTAACTAAGAATATTATAATTGTTATTAAATAAGTGCTAGGCATAAAATGATGGCTATTTCAAAGAGAAGAAAAAAAATTCAAAGTAATGAAAGAATAATATGTATTTTTTTTTTCAAATTTAGAATAGCAACTATCTACCTATAATTCGGCGAACCACATTTTTCAAGGAGGAAACAGTACACTTCTTAATACGTAATTTCCTAAAAGCATTTCACAATCGTTTCCAACGCAGACACAACATTCATTTGTGTACAAACAAAACAAATTATATACGAATCTCTAGTTTTATTTACGGAAAAGATAGAAAGAACTGGACATTATTTGTCACGTTGATAACGCGAACCACGGATTCCCGCCAATTTTTTATGTTGTGTCATTTAATTTATTATTTTGGATACCGTCCAACTAACTCAATAATCTAGAACTTGGGAAATCTGAACCGTGTTGCGATAGAATTTTTGTCAGATTCTTTTTTTTATATATCCATTTAAATAATGCAACGACTGAAAAGGGTTAAACCGGAACTATGCTTGTCAAATTCCAGCTAAAAACGTCTATTATATGTAGATAACAAATTTACATTTAAAAAATAGCTGATAAGTTGAACATTAGTTTTGTTAAAGTGGTAACGAACAGCCATAACAGCATTGACTAAAAATATTATCTTTATACGATACATATACTGGAAAAAAACAGTCATTAGGCCTTATAGAAATCCGCCTAATAATACTGCCACAAAATTCTTAAAAATCAATTTAACAAAAATAATTCTATATTTAAAAGACATTTGGTGTCGTGGATACTGGCAACCTAATAGAATAAAAGGAGGTTGCGTTATTAATCATTGTCAACTTATATGTGAACACAATAATTTGTTAAATTTTTATAAGAATGTTGTTAATAGGAAAGTATTTATCAATGACACTCTTGTTAAATCAACCGGATTAATACAATGTTAAAATGTAGACCACCTACGGAGATCAATGACTGTTCGAATAACATTTTTTTTTTAATAGTGTTTAGGTGAACAAATTACGGATAAGGTTGACGAATCGGGACCAAAATAAAATAAGAAAGCTTAACAGGAAACTAGTAACTCCTTATGGATCTCACAAAAACACAGGTAGAAGGATAGATTTAGATACAGGATGTATTAAAATATTGATGCATGACTAATTTACTACCTAGAACCGTAACAACCATCTACCTAATGTATCACACAAAGCAGCAGCCAGTTGCCCAACCACTAGGAGGATGGTGCTGTCAAATTCGATTTATATACAATTGGTACATGTAGGTACTACTAAGATATTGTGAAACAAACGCTTAATGAAAAAAACTTCATTTGGGCTATCCAAAAATCATAAAAAGGACGAAATTCAATAGCGTCTTTAAAAAAATGAACTTCTTAACATTCCACTAACAAACAAACCACTACAGCTTTACATAATAAAAAAATATAATAAATGATAAAAAATTCAAACACATACTAATACTATTATAAAAATCTTATCGTGATATAATGATAGAACTCTTTGCATAAGCGAAGAAGATAGTTTCGTTAAAAGTATTTTTTACCTTTGAACATCGGTTCATGCTTTTCCTGGATCTTCTTGGCAGGGATAGGTACAGGCTCATATCTGATCTGGCGCGGGAAGCAGAACATCAGGGTTGACAGCAGCACTATGAATGCGGCTACAACTACCATACCTGTGGAAGAAAAGCATAACATTTTAAAAACTGGTAATACCAAATGTAATAAACCATACAATATAATTAGCTACGTCGCACTTATATTAAAGCTAGTAATGACAGTTCGCTTGTCGGAATATTCAGTCCCATAACTCGATAAGAATATTACATAAACTAATATTATTAAAAGAAAATACCTATTTGGTTGTTTATCGAAATTTATTAGGCGCAGGGTATTCGTTCCCGTAAATCAATAAGAATATTATCTATAGTAAGAGACAATATTCTATTGTTTGTTACAACTGAACAGGCTGTGAAATTAATTGACCGGTTAGAAAAAATCTTATACTGATGGGAAGCTATAATATCCCCGGTGAACATAGCCTAAACTACGCAAGTAAAACTGCGGGGCACAGCTAGTATCTAAAAATAATGACACCAAATAGAGAGGAGTTCCTAAATCAAATAATCTTTTTTTTTCTTTTGAGTCAACAAATATTAGCAATTTGGTAATTTCTCCAGCACTTTTGCTAATAATGTTGAATTCTTCTCTCTTAATAAAACCTTATGCAATGCTTAGTTTAAATAAAATGGCTGAAAGTGGCTAGACAAGAACAAATATTAGTCTAAATATTTCATCACACTTTATTTGAATAAATATCGAGACCAAAAACTATGTTACATCTTGTAGGTACAAATCTAAAAGCCCTATTGAAACAAATGAACCTACGATATAGAGTGGGTGGCCATACATACTCTAGGGCCATTCAACCACAATCCAAGCAAACATATCTAATAAGTTTATAACAGTCTTTATATGCCATCCTGTTATCATCGACATAATAAAACCGTGTACAAATAATTTCGTGCAAACACCACAATCTAATGAGTACCGTAAACTACCTATATCTGCTCGAGCAAACAAAACGTAGACAAGCAAATCGAAATCGAAATTTGAGAAAAATATTGCGAATTTACTCGATACATTTCGTAACTATGTGATCGAGTCACTCACTGTTTATAGAACACATCAACAAGATCACAATTATGACAATTATCGAGAGGCGGAGAGTGAGAAATGCTCTTTTCAATGTATTACTAATCCATTTGTTGTCGTCAGGAGATTAGCTCGAATGTGTGGAATATTTCACGCTCCGCGAGGCGCCACGGTGCGAGACTGATCGCATGATCTATCCACTTACACGATGTACAAAGTGCACAACAACCGACGTTTTTAAAACTAGTAGACATATTCTGGAAATATTCATATGTACCAGATTTTAAAAAAACAGCCCTGCTTTAATATTCTAAGCGTCTTCCAGTGTTTTGAGAAAATTATAAGTAAGATCTGGACCAAAATTGACAATTGTCAGAGCGGCAATCGTAATAACTCATAAAACCTTGGATACGATCAAAAACAATTCCTATAAATTCGAACAGAAAACATTTGCGCGTTCACAAGGTCGCCCGGTCGACGTTCAGTCAAGGGCGTCCGCTAGACACGGTAGGTATGGACTATGGATACACAAGCCGAACAGCATTGTTTACCATGCGCAATTGTACGAACGCAATGTAAGAGAGTCGCAGTGTCTAACACATTTTGGAGACAAGTATGGTTTTACAGCGCAGTCGGCAGGAGAAGACGAAGGTCAAGAGAACCGGTTTAAAAGTAAAAGTGAGCAAGGCGTCGGTCGCGTGTCCACCCACTAAATCCTCATTACGGGCACCGACGGCATAATTGTCGGCAACAAGGCGCGCAGCCTTGGCCGTGACCGGCTGTGGATAGAGCGCTTATTTTAGCTGTGGTGACGCGGCGTGATGTAACACACGTTATATAACTAGTGGCGTGCGCCTGCGCCGCCGCTGCCGCCGCAGCGTGACGCCCGCGCACAAAAAAGCGAAAGCCGGCTGGAAATTGCATCGCGCGCCATTCTATGACACCGCATCACACGTTGCACCGCGTTTTATAACACCTCTCGGTAACACGCTTCCTAAAGATAGCAATCTAGGCGCATTGATTGAAAGCTCGGGTAAAACTCATTACAGTGCCGTGTTAATTATGCAACACAGGAATGCCTGGCTAACCCTTCTCAGAAACAATTGCAATGCAATCGAGTCGCTATGGGAGTCAGCTGGTGGAAGTAATGAGCGGCGATTAACATCTTGCAACATACGATCTGTATGCTCATTATCCCTTGAGAAATGTTCTTATAATAACGTAAATCGTCACAAGTTGAGCTTAACCGACATTTTATAAATATGTAGGGAGCTATTTTATGTCTATATGTCTATAATTTACTGAAATAATTATACGATCAGACTCTTGTATAAAGGTAGATCAGTCTTTTCAATAAACTCGTCAGTAAAATGTTAAAATGATTACACGCATTATTTTTGAACCTCCACACAGATAATTAAATACACTTGTCGAAATTGAACGGTCCATAAACAAAATATCACAGTCCTTCCAATTTTGATGCATTTTAAAATTAATACTGTCCATTAAAATGTCTCTGCGCGAAAACAATGTTTAAAAAAACTTTACATGTTCTTATTTTGAATGTACTGGCATTCGATTTGGGTCGTCCAGACAATGTTAATGATACAAAATGTCCGTTAAAATAAACTGATTAAAATTCAAAACTTCATTCATGAACGAAGCGTATGAACAATGAGGAAATACGTAGAAGTCATTCAATGCGTATTCGCGAATTCAATGCGTTAGCAGTCGAGACACGCGTGCAGCAGTTTTCTACCGCGACACGACGCGCGAGTAACTTCCTAAAAGTCCTTTACAGTTGAATTTTGAGCTTTAAATTGTTGTGTTTAAGATGTACAGTGTGTTTTGTGGGTGGTATATTGAAGTTTGTTTTGTTTACACGCACTGACTTGGTAGGCGGGTCACGCACGTGCTTTCTTCGTGGATTTTGCGCGCAAATCTGTGCATGTGCTTGCTAACGGTAGATGAGTGTTCCGCATTGGAATGTTTGCTGCTTCGATTTCGTTGTAACCACGGACAGGTCATCGTTTTGCTTGTAATGTTACGGAGTTTGCCGTCCAAAAATAGAATCCAATAAAGGAACACGTTTGTGCTAAAAATAGTTCAGCGCAGCTTGTAATAGCAAGGAATTATATTTTGCTAATAACTTTTAAGTTACATGAAAATGTTGAATGGTGATGTGCTTTTGATTTATCCATTTAACATGGACGTCTGATAATTTTTATATGATAAGGCTTCGCAAACAGCGCATGATTTGTCTACCGCGATCCACTCTAATTACTGGTTTATCAAAAATAAAAATAAAATAATGGTGCAGGCACAATAATGTACCACGATCCCGGCCCTGAGCAGGATAAAGAACAGGGTGGTTTTAAGTCAGTAAGAGTCTGTCATTTCCTCTCGACACAACAAAGGAGTGAGAAACCATTTAATGATATTACCGCATCCAAAAGAAAATGCGACCAGCAGCTACTACCTACTTATATCGATTTTCAACTATAATACGTTTACACAGCAGTAAAACGCGAAACGGCAGTCCGTTTAGTATTGTATGAATAAGCTTATAGTTTTATATTGCTGCCATATAAATTCAATTATAATGGAACCCATATTTCTTACTTTAGTACATTTACGACGACATCAAAATATTAACAACATCTGCACATTCTACGCGTAATATAAAAACCGGCCTAAAAAAATAATCATCGCCTAATAACAACAAAAAAACAGGTACTGGGAATTCGGTAGGTAGAGCATTTTGTACAAAAAGAGGGTAGGTAGTGTATAAAAAAACGTCCGCGCATGCGCGATGGTTCTATTATGGCCATACTAAACCAATGAACGTATCTGGATGGACGTGTGGCACAGTTGAAGCCACTTAATTTTTAATGGATATTTTTCTATTGGTTACAGCTAACTGCTAGACTGCTAAGTAAGTGCTAGCACTACACTATTTTAGTTATCTTACAATGTACCATTCCCTTTCCTTTAGGATTAATAAATATCTCTAGATATTTCCGATTGAAGAAAAAATTTCATCAAGGATTGTAGCTGAAAAAAAAAATTAAACAAAAATGTTAAACTCACCCAACCACCAAGCTCCAACCCACCTCGGGTCACTGGCATCGTAGTCAGGGGTCGAGAATGGGTCCACATAAACCCTGGTGCATAGAGCCCCTAGAAGGAAGCCCAATGCAGGGCCTATAACCCTTATACCGATGGTAATAGCTGAGGACAAAGAAAATAAAAGATTATTACAATTATTTAAAAAGGAATCTACCTAAGTATTGTCTAAAATAAAAAAGAATATAAAAATATGAATCTACCAAAAAACACCAATCTTCCAAAGATCGTTTCTATCTTTACAAATTTTGAGAATTTTAGGGGAGGTTTTTACGACGGACAAAAACTATAAAAAGTTTAAAATGTTTGAACACGATAAAAAACATGGCGACCTTTTGGCCGCATTCCCTTTCTATCTCCATGCCCTTTTTATGAACCAAAGAGGGAACAGATAACGTCGACGGACACATTATGTCGTTAAACATCACGTAGGCTAATATTATCGATAAATATTTAACACAGCTGCAATCATGGGGAAACTTGAATCCTTGAAACTTGAATCCTATGGAATACACAAAAAAAGAACGTCCTGTTGTAATCAGACACGATAGACGACAACCGATTGAAATCACAATACAAAACAACCGCGTAAGAAAGACAAACCACAACGACTAACGTCCGGCTGCATTATAAAACTTATGGAGTGCAGTGGAATGCAAGAGGACATATAGTTACGAGACTTACAAGTCTGGTTTCAAGATAAACGTAATTTCCTCAGGATTAGTTATAAGACAGGCTAACTTTATCGTCGTATCGTCGAGAGACACTGAAATAGAAGGAAAGGCTTATTTTAAAAGTCACTTTCTCTTCTGTTTTGTATGGTCAAATGACCATTGGTTAACCAAAAGAGTTAAACATGCTAGCTTATCGTTTTTTAAAATACCAAATCTGTCACATCCATCATTATGTAATCAAAAGCAAAATCTGTTGTATGTAACACTGTTGCAGTAGAACCACATCATGCAACGTATGCAGTTTCTTAAATGCGCAAAGAAAAAAAATGACAGGCTTTCAGTGGCATGATTTTAAGATAAAACTTCACGATATCTATTCATGATGCAAACATTGTAATCAATAACATGTCTTGCTCTCACGATGTATTAAATAATATTACGCTAGCAGATTCTGCTCCTATTACGACATCTACACACGAAACGCATACATTTTCCACTGCACGCATCACTGAAACCGCTCTATTGCACGAAACTGCAGATGCTATGTTAAACAGTACTGAATTAACTCGAGGAAATATTATCATCGGGTCATTAAATGACGTAGTAAATATTAATGTGCATAATCGGTGAGGCGGAGATGGTCGTTATGCAAATTGAGATGGACTCTCGCTCACACAGAGGACCGCAGTCGTTTATCTCAATAGGGCTAGGGCTCTGGGGCTAATTGAGGGCCATTGAACTCGCCACAACAAATTATCGTATGAGGAATTGCTGCTGTCAACGATCGCTGCTGCAAACAGCTACTTGATGTTAGAACGAAAGAAAAACGATCGAGCTGCCAGTACTGCAAGCCGACATGATTACTGACATTATTGTTCTGAGAAATGCTAATATTATTGCAACCCATTAAATTATGTTATATTACTACATCATACAGACAGTAAACAACTCGTTTAAATACATAATAAGAACAAAATGAGCGACACACTGCAGCGACCGCAGTCCGAAGATGAACCATCCGAAGCGCTTGAACTTGCGTAAGAACTGTCCCAATTTTTGAAAATTAAATTAAAACCTGTTATATAAAATAACAAAGGACCGTTGCAGGGTGAGTGACCGAAAAACAATCAGGTACTTAGGTCCCGAATGTAATCTTTCCCAGAAACCAACCGCATCGCTTGCCAAAAAACGGACAGGCGTGCGTTCAGCTCGCGTGCTTCACGTTCGGTACAAAGTAAAATATACGTTCCTATTATCATCATGCGCTTTTGTAATAAATAATGGCCTCGTCAGGATCGTTTTTCAAAACGGCCGCTGTCGGTGTCTCGGTACAAGTTTTTATTATGTCCCAGTGTACTCGTCCTTACCGGTTCCAATGCATCATTAACATCGTTCAAGTGCTGCTCCCTCGAATTAACGCTCAGTGATTGTCAAAAATGACGAATTACATCATTAAATGGACCCCGATAGGCAATCGCAGTTTGGGCATTATCGGTACGTGCAGCTTTTTGCACCTTACTTAGTGCACGCTTATAAATAGATGAGCGTTCCGCTCTATCTACACGCGCTATCTATAATAATAGAGACAAACATAAATACGCTGATATGAAAGCCAACAGGGCTCGCAGAGATAACCTTGTGGAGCCCGCCTCTGTAAATAAGGTCATCTGAACTGTCAGCCACAATCACCTCTGATATACGACTAGTTTTATACAAAAACTTACAGAATTTACAACGCACTTTTATAAGCCAGAAATCGTGCCTTAGGAGGCAATACTCATATCTAAATATGGTGTCAGACAAGTTCTGTCGCATCAAGTTCCGTTTAAAAGAGTATGAGTGCATTGTAAGCAGGTAATGCAAATACAAACGACTAGTTCCACAGCAATCTTCCTCCTATAGAATACTTAATTAATGTACACACATTTGTATCTAATTATTAATGTTAACGTCCATATCTTTCTTAGCGTAAACCTTCGAAATTTTTGTAATAAGTAAGAAGTAAATACCGGCCTCCATCAGACAATTTTGCCACAATAATATTTGCAAGTCACGATATTTTTAATGACCACGAAATAGGAACACAATTCCTAATCGGTACAGAGTTCATTGCTCTGTGGAATGCTAAATCATTTTTAGAAGTATGACTAATTCGTATGGAAAACACAATAACATCAACCACTGCGACGCTTCCACGAAGACACCTGTCAAAATAAATATACAGGAAATAGTTTCAGAGTCATAAATATTAACCAATACACTGGTAGTTGAAGAAATAAAAGCGATTTGACGTCAAAAAAGTTAATCAATCGTGAGTACGATAATAACAACGGACATAATCATATCTAATCTTAGAGACGTAATCTAATCTACCGATATCGCAAGAAACTGACCTATGACAACTACAGTAACAAATGATTAGGTGGAGCGCAATTTGATAGTGGACCTAGCAAAAAAGTTGCATAAGGTGCACATTGCAATGTTGAGGCAATGTAATAACGAGGTAATTTTCTCGTCTGTACAAGGCATAATTAATCGCAATCAGATTGCAGACCGATAACTTGGTATGATTGAAAAAAGAAACATTCCGAAATTACGATACGAGATTGTAATTGATTGTAAACGTTTCCCATCCTTTGGAGTCGTGCACGTCGCTGTATTCTTCCGCTTGCACTTCCAAGTAACTGCAGATGGGCGTTCTCATATTACCCACTACGATAAACACAAAATTTTAAACCTATCAAAGATACCATTGAAATCTGGTGGACACTATAAATTTTATTTTTTGTCATGGCAGCACAGGATGCGTTTACGTCAACAAAATAGTGATTAAAATTAATAAGGCACAAAAACTGTCATTAAGGCATTTCCGTTTCGTTCCTTTTAGCATGTTTTAGCATGTTGGCCGTAAAATATTCGGCTTTAAAAAAAAACAAGGTGCTATAAATTAGCATACGACTGTATATAGATACAACATTGGCCTAAATGAGAGGCTCGAGGTATCTTCTCTGAAAATGTATGAATCATTTTATACAACACGTAAAAGTAACATTCACTAAGAGGAAAACCTGACCAGTTCTCGTTTCACATTGTCCTAAATTGAAACCTACAATATAGGTAGGGCTGATGCATGCGCAATGACGCCTGGCTCGGATCAGAAGAGGGAACGGGGTGGTTATTGAGTAAGATTCTGACACTCCCTTTCGCCCCCAGGGCGGGAGTAGACATTAAGTGATTTTCCACCTAAAAAAATTTACCTCATAATGGTACATAATGTAAACTATATATCATATATTTCTGCAAGAATAATATACAAGTTTTAATTATACCCAAAGAACTATCGAATTCCGCAATAAAATTCCTTCCTCCACACCCACAAATTGAAGCGCTATTAGACATTACATAATAGAGCACATATGTACATATTTTCAGAATTACGAAATACCATATCACATTGAGAATGTAGATAAAGAGAACTTAAAGGTTGTATCTACAGCTTAAATGATACACCAAAATCCTAAAGCTGTACAAATACAAAATAAAAAATGCAGAGTGGGGGAGGGAGAGAGAAATACAGGCAACGAGAACGTTACAACATACGAACAAAAATACCCGAACAAAACGCATTCCGAAAGTGAAGACACGCAACTCGAGGAAACAGGCCGAGTGCTCGACCATTCCCGAACGTCGTGCGTGAGGGACGAAATTAGGGCAACGTCTCTAAGGAACGAGATACTACATACTGACACCAACGAACTGAAATTGTCGCCGCGACGCGCCGGCACACTGACACACTTCGACAAACACCTACTGAAATAGCAATTGCATACGTTTTAGTGCACAGGGCTTCATCGAAGAACAGAACAGTCTCGAATAAGCGAGGTTATCTTCAAAACTGTATGACGTACGTACATCGAGCGAAAAATCAATGGCAATTATGCCGAGGCCAATGAACTCGGACTACCTATAGGTATTATACAACGATTCTTTTATTTAAATGTCGGCACAGATATTGATCAACACAAGGTTGGTTATGCAACTAACGACGAAATAGGATGTGGATCCCACAAAAACATGGTACAAGGAAAATAGGTGCGGAGTGTTCTAGAAAACAAATGAAGAGTGAGAAACCCAACTGAGTAGGACAATTTATAAAATTTAAGTTAACACTCAAACGATATTGTGCAATCGATATTGGTCCAGTCTTTTAGAGGCCCTGGAGGCAAGTTTTATAATGATTTATCAGTAATTTGTGGAATTTAGCTATTTAAAATTAGTTGATTGATTGCCTAGATTTTAACAAGGCTGCATTATAATAATCATTGTATATCTTAAGAGCTGTAAATTCAATTTCAATACTATTATAAAGGAATTTAACATGGAAAAGACATTAATGAAGAAAAACGTCATTTCAATACTGCCATGGAATTGGAACAAATGAGCTAATGCAAATAAAATGGGACACTTCAACGAAACTTAAGAATGATTATTTACTTGGTACAAACAGCTGCAGTTTACCTTCAAAGTGACACGTGATTATAATGATTCATGGCCCTACAGTGCCCTTAGAAAACATACCTAACACATAAGGTCACGATCACACGTAATATTTGACCCACATAATCCAAAGTACGCTAGCGTACAACCGACCGTGCGCATTCTGCCTTATTTAGGTCGCCACTAATTAACTAAATTGGATTTAATTGGTTAAATAAATTAGCTTAATGCAGTGCGTGTTATTAAATAATGTTTCCTTCTGCGGGCCTTTAGTGATTATGTGGGATTAGGATTGCATAATCACCGAATTAATTAATTTTATGTCCAATAATGTTGCAAAGATTGCGCATCTAATACAGCACTGGCAGTTTAAAAAAAATGTTTATTTTGTCTCTTACATTTTCGTTACACATGTGAATGAAACAGCCCCCGTAAGTGGTTAAAAAAACTTGTGTCGGGGTTGCCTCGCTCCTCCCCTGAGTTACTTTACATTATTGAGACGTAGACCATTTGGTAGACATTAAGATAAAATTAAGACCATAATTACACTCTATTCTATACCATAATTACAGACTATTTATACAAAACAAAACAAAATCTTTTCACTATCAGAATAATCTAAGAGGCGTATTGACTATTTTTTTCAAATAGTATACAGAGGAATACCAAACCAATCGGACTAATATCACATCAAATGATAAGCCACTATTTTCTTCCAAACGAAGACGTCGCTCTTTCAAAACGTGTCAAAGAAACCAACTATAAATTACCACTGACATTCAATGAAAACTATAAAGGCTAAACATGCGATTTCGTGAGCAATATCGAACGATGGCTAATCAAACGAAATTGCGGTGAAATCCTTATTTTATAGTGAATAATATCTTTACAACAACAGGAGGTTGAGATCCTTCGTCGCTTGTACCTACACAATTCGAGCCTTTTTTGTGAGGCGAAAATGATCCAATGACTTCTATCGCCCGGGATGAGGCGAGAAGGAGTGTCAGACTCTGTGAGTGAAAAAATAAACACCCCGTTCCTTTTCATTGTTTATCATTTTCTCTTACAAAGAAAAGTGATGCAGAAAAGTGTTACACTAGGTGTTAAGTAAGGTTGAGTATTCAAACGCTTAAAGGCTTAAAAGTTAAAAAAAAAAATCTTAAATCTATGCGAGTATTTTATTTAGAATATGAAGATTCTATTAATATTCTAACAACAGGCAAGTTATTGAGAATATGAGACTGGCCGGGTTAGTCTCAATCCTGTAGCGCAAAACAACAAACAACTCTGTCCCTAAAACACAAGAAAAACCATTCCAAATCGAGAATCGTGTCAAGATTACTAGATATATACTGACCCAGTAACAAACAGACTTATTTTATATTTATCTAATCACTTGCAAGTTCACAACAGCATTAATCTATATTATCAGGTCGTAACAGTAACACGAGTATGCTCTCAATTTGCGAACAGAAGCCGTTTGTGCATCAGAAATAGTCATAATGTCATCAAAGGTAGCCGGGGTTATGGGGTAATAGCAATGAGTCACCGCGACCTCGGTCCAGAGCAGGAGAAGGGAGGTTTTTAGACAGTAAGAGTCTGACACTCTGTTCCGCTCAAGATCAGACGGGGCTGTGCAGGAAGAACTGTGTGACTGTGTGAAGGAGCCATATGATGATTTTCCCCTCACAAAAAAAATACATCAAAGGTTTGGAAAACATGGAACAAGATTACCTAATTACTTGCTTTTCATTTGTTTATCTGTATTTGTTTTTGTATTGGCGAAAAAGGTCCGTCATGATTATAATGCATACTTGAACGATAAGGAATTTAGAATAAAAATAATAAAAATTGATTGTCGTTTATTTTATAATTGTTTTAGTAAAGACTATATGCATTCAAATTGAATGCATTAGTTTATAATACTACCATTGAAATTATATAATACTAGCAATCCAGTCCGTTCTCACACAGGTTCAATTCTGGTACTAAATTTTTCCAGTGGATAATAGATATTATTATACATATAAAACTCCCTCTTTAATCAATCTATCTATTAAAAAACCACATGAAAATCCGTTGTGTAATTTTAAAGATTTTAGCATACGAAGCGACAGAGAAAGCGACTTTGATTTACATTATATCACGAATTTCCTCAAAATAAAATACAAGTTAAATAAAAAGTACAAAAAATATTCCAAAAAATAATAATAAAATAAGGCATTGTATTTTTCAAACAACACGAGTAGATTTCCCATTTCAAATTGCGCCAAAGACGTAATATCACGAGAGAATTGTGAAATGAAAACGTAATTAAATAATTCCATAATAATTATTGAGATATTTTAAGCTACACCGACTAGTCAATCAACATTTCTTACACACCCGTCCGCCTTCACACTACAACATAGTAAATATTTTGAATCTAAAAACATAACAAATTCAAATGAGCAATTATGAAATGTCGAAGGTAAACATAATAAAATTGAATCATCACCATCAGCATAACTAACAAGCTTTAATATAATCGATAACAGAAACTTGTATATCGATACTAGACTAAACTAGACTAGATAATACTCAAAATTGGGCAAAACATTATTTTTTCTCACGAGAACGTTGACAAACAATTTGTATGCCAAGTGTAGGGGTTCTATACTGAAATTCTGAAATAGAAATTGTAATCGATATTCTCAATTCGATTGCTACTACAGAAATAATCGATAATAGTCCTCAATCTCCAAGTCCTAACCCCCAAAAGGTCGACAATTCACTAGTCACCACGATGGGGTTGCTTAAGCATCAATTGCTTAAAATCAGGTGGACCATCTGCTTATTTGCTGCGCTATCACATAGAAAAAACAGCTCGGAATCTACCGAGGGTTCTTTCGACCCTAATTCCTATGTAGAAATAGTGCAGTGGACCGTGGACGCATTAGATACAAGTCAGACGCAACAATACACGCGCACCACGTCTGGGCAACGTGTGCACTGTTCACGGCACCCAAACATCTATTGTTTGCGTTTATGCACTTTATATTAACCTTGTCAAATGTTTTGACTTCAGTTTTTGAGCTTTTACGACGACCGACCGTGAAACAGCCACGTTGTTCAAAATCAATTGCTTTATTGTATTGTTTAAATCATAAATCATAAAGAGCACTTACAATAATTTCTACTCTTTATACATGAAAATGCCATTAAAAACATATATACATATTTGCACTACGAGACTTCAAGGAACATGAATTCGTACAAAATTACAATTAATGCAGGATGCGCTCAAGCTATTGTTAATTACGCAACGCATCAGAGGGCGGCCGGCGAAGCACGCTGTAGGCGGGCCGTGGGCGGCGGCTATGATTTAAACACTTTTATGTGCCCATTTTATTGCAAGTACTCACAAAACGCTAACAATTATCTTAATCGGCGCACCAAATTATAAAGCATCATGCTTTTGTTTTACGGAACACGCCCCAGTGATTCTACGGCGCGCGTTTACTGGTGGGATATGTGTACATACAAGTTCACTGAGAAAACTTGATAATTGTAAAATCGCAACAACAAACATCTACTTACCCATGTAAAGCGGGGACTGCTTGCTGCCGACGTTGTCGTCCACGTACGGAATACCCAGCGTGGCTATCCCAGTCTGCCCCACGCCCACCACCAGCAGGCAAATAAACAGCCATGGGATGACCACGGCGGTGATGGAAGACCGCGTCGTTGAACTCTTTACGTGTGCATCATCACACAAGTCGGAGGAGTTCTGGTAGCTGTAGCAAACAGGCGCGGCGCCAACTTTATGCGCTTCCTGGTGCACTTCCAGCAACTGTGTGCCATAGAACAGGTGTGGCATGATACAGCCGATCACACCAAACGCCAGAACGATCATCATACAGGCGATCCACCGAGGCCGGTGCCCGCGGCCCGCCAGGTACGTCAAGAACAGTGCTGTACATATCTGGCCTATTTCCGTCGCCGCTAATAACGTCCCCGTCGTCTTCGATTCGACTTTGAATAATTTTTCTACAGTGGTCGTTACACTAACGAAGTAGGTGAGGAACATGCCCTGCAGTATCCAGCCTGACAGAAACACCAACATGAAGACGCGCGTCGACGCGAATACGGAGCGGTCCCGCAGCGGCTGCGGGTGAGCCGCCGTGTGCTTGCAGTCGAGCGACCCATTATTGTTTCCAGTTGCTAGCCGTTCCTGTTCTTCAGGTGTAGCTTCAACACCTTTCATGTCGGTACCCTCGGTCGCCGGGCCCGGGGGACCAGCCTCCCCACCCGCTGATGATACTGTGACGGCAACGTTCGCCCTGCGACAATACAAAAACATCATTTTAACACTGGCTTTACAAACCTGACAAATAGTTCCAACGTTATTCCGAGATAAACTCACGTCATGATAGACACGTCTGCGCGGTTAATGACGCGAATATTACACAACCCCTATGCTATCAAGTCTATGTGACCGCCCGAGCGAAAACGAAACGCACGCTAAGCTAAACGGGCAGTGACGCAGCCGACGCTTCCGGTTAACGGGACCCAAACATACAGATTGATCAACGATCGCGAAAACAAGGAGTGGGTACGATGTAGCGGTGGTGTGTCGTACGCATACTTGTGGGGAGTCGTTAACCCGACTGCGAGGGATGGAAAGAGGCTGCGTGCGCGCACCCAGCGCGGCGGAGACCGACTGCAACTTGCAATTACTGGCGCAGCGCGCTGCACCCGCGAGCCCGCCCCTCAGCTTCTCTCCACACGGGGTTTTTATTGGCCGTCTATCCATTTTTTGTGCGGCACGCATTTACACACGATGAAAGCCGTCTGCGCACCGCCCTTCACTGAAGATTCCCTCTCGTCTCGACACTACGGAATGTCTTTGTCTCTTTGCTGCCCCAAAGGAAATTCATTCACATTCATTTACCTAAATATTAATTACATATAATCGTGTGTGCTATTATAAAACGAAGTCTTATCAAGCGCACATGTACCTAATGTGAATAGGTTTTGTTTATATATCATTTGTAAAATCTATAAAATGTGTACCTACAGAGGTGGAGGTAAGCGCTAGGTTCGCAATAAAATCAACCGTAGAATATTAATGTGATCGACTCATACGGTTAACTGGACTTGCGAAACTCACCGATGGGGGCCGATGACCACCGGCGACACCGACCACGACGCACTATTGCACTACACCGACCAGTTCCAGGTGGAAACTATTTTACTGATACTACTAATTGGCCAGATAGCGTTATAGGAGATATTTTTATAAATTTAGGGAAGATTCGAGCGACCCATTTTTTGACGTCTGATGCCAAATGAAGTGCACAGTAAACTGCATTCCGAGATAAGCCCACGAACTTGTGCAATGGTCGAGCTATCGAGCAAGTGCTATCGCTTCAGTGATAACGGTACACAGCAAATAGGTATAGTGGCAGTGATGTGGAGCGGGTTACTGCTGCACTAATATCACACAAAATGCTCTATTTATCTCAAATGACTGCACTGCTCGACCTTTCGACAATAAGGCATTTTCAACACAACATACATATATGGATATCTTATTTCTGAGAAGAATCGTACGTCTTTGATATGCAGCCAAATTCAAAATGTCTACAAACATGCACCACACCTCGAAATAATTATAAAAATATTTCTGAATGACAAGCCCGACGATAAGAAATCAACGTGCTTGTAAAATACATGAGGCGAAAAATTTGGAAGCAAAAACATCTCAGCACATTGTAGATACACATATCCAGACGAAAGTCACACGAAATCGATCTCGAAGCAAAGTGAACTCGGTGTCCTAGGCAGCGTTGCGAGACGCCACGATCTAATTGGCGGCAATATTGTATGAAAGTCAACCCCGCACGCACATACAATCACATCGGCCATGTGAGGACGGCGACTGACGATTTATTTAATCTCCATCGCGATTGAGTGGCAATGAATCATATGAGTATGGCGAGCGCCGGACAATCTATTGACATAAATTGAATAAAGTATAGTGTCAACGCAACACCTCTGAAACGCTTATATTTAAATTAGAGACGCGTGTGGAAATCAGATAAAGTGAGCGCGTGTTAGGAAGGAGACAAAAAGTTGCTCAACGCCGCGTCCTCACTTACAATTCAGTGACACGACAAAATGAATCACAAAAGAACAGATTCGACGTCAACCCGCATCAAAATTCATCTTCAACACAAAAAGATACAGTTCGCGGGGTCTTTTCGGGAAAAATAAGAAACAAAGTCACGGTCTCATACATACATTTTGAAATTCATACAAATCGAGATTGGTATAAAATTAAAAAGACAACGAAAAAGGTATAATAAATCTTCAACTTTGTTATTAATGAAAACAAGGGATGTTATACAAATTTTGAGTAAAATACTATTATTAGCGCAGACATAACCGTGCGACGTTAACTAGGGGAAGGTCAAATATATGAAACGTTTGGGGAACACAATTGAGGGTGCACGATAGTGGCGCGGGCGCATCGAAGACGTCTATGATCATTCTATAAGTGAGAGGACAACGTGCGCGGTCAAGGTAAGTGAGCAGATACCTGTTGCCGATGACACTGTGCACTCGACATTAATCTCCATTTTAAACCCAGTTTAATAACGTAAGGTACAATTTACAATGACGGTGGCAGGCACGAATGAGAAGTGCAGCGGTAACTAGCAGTGAAACTTCATTATAAATATCTGCGAGGACCTAGACCTAGTCTAGATAAATTATTGTGTCATTTAATCGGTTACTGACGAACTCAATTCAAACGCTATCTATAGATTATATCACGTTTAATGCCCTAGCACCTTGCAGACCTGTGACTCTACCAGTTTCCAGCAAGTCTAAAACAAAGGACAAACACTTGTCTCACGCATACAAATATTTATCGTTTTACATGGAAAGCAGATGCACCAACAACTGGTCCTGACAGGCTACAATTGTTAGCGCAAACATTTCAAATATTTTGCATTCTATTAATTGTGGTGTTCATTCGAAGTTAACTAAAAGTGCAAACACATGTCAAACAAAAAGTTATTGTTACAAAACTCCTCTTAGAGTTGTCAACTCGCAAAGTCTTGTATGTAGAAATCATATTTTGTATTACGCATTGACATAACAATACAATTAACTGAAGAGGCACCTTTGGTTGCAAACGATAAATGTCTTATAGCAATATTACTACTGATGCCGACATCGCACCGAAGCATTCTACTAACCAATTCACAGGTTTATTAACAGAAAACCGGCTTGTAGTACCGAAAGTAAACATATGCCGAGGCGAGTATTAATAGTAAAATTAGTTTGGGTCTTAATTAAATTAAACCGGCTTCTGCCCACTGACTATTAATTAACGAGATTCATGGTTGTGCACAAACTTAACCGAACGACTGCGGAACAAGCTGACGAAGAATTATTGACAACAAAATAACAGAGACGTGATGGCTCGGTACTACCGGAGCTCATACAGAACAACCAACAATTAGCACACGTTACTCATCTCTTAATAACAGAAGTTTTTACTAACAAAATATCAGCATTTAAAATTAATATTAATTCGACATGCTCTATGTAGATACTAGCAAAATCTAGTCACTTTAATTAAAGCACAATCCTTAGAGCCGATCTAATAGGTAATAACGCTAACATATTTGCCTCAGCCACTAAGACTCTATTTGCAAATCAAATTCAACCTAATGCGTGTATTAATTTCCAACAGCAGCTGTTAAGTGTCTATGAGACAAATGATTTATGTGGACGATAAGTACTCCGACCATAATTACTCGTAACCAATACTGAGATTTGCGATGTGATAACTGCAAAGTTTAGTGACACCAATAATTCCAACGAGCACCAATGACCCTTCCAGACTCTGTGATGCATCGTGCTTATACATGGTGATTTATAATCTTCGATTTTAATATTGATAAAGTGAACAAGATTAATTTTAATGTAAATAAACAGCGAGCGGCTGAAGCCAACCCAAATAAAAAATATTAAGATGATCACGAAAAAAAAACACAATGCAACGAAATCGAAATCCGATAAAAATAAATGCGAAATAAGCGAAAGTCTGATTAAGGGCAATAACTCAGGTGTTGAGACAGTCGTGTGAAGCAAATCTTCCGAGTAGGTGTGCCTGCATAAACCAGCCTCGGACATCGGACACCCCGGGGCGGAGACCTGTCGGAGATACACTGACTTACTGCCCTCTACGCGCTCGACATAATGGACCCACCCGCCGACCTTTACCATTACGTTTTTAATAAAACATTTACATACAATTGATGCTGTTCATAACAAACACTTCCAAATAGACTCGCGTCACAAAATGCTACCGAAATTCGTAGCGTTGAAGGGGTTTTATTAAGTATCACGTGTTGTATAACTCTACTCAAATTATGGAAATTATAAGTAATGTATTAAATTGTTCAAATGTATTCAACGGGAAACATATAAATCACGACAAGCCCTACAAGTACTGCCAGTGTAACAAAAAAATGGCCTTTCGTGGAAACAGATTAATATGTAACGATCGACAACAAGAACAAATCGGGATGCGAAGGAGAAAAACTGCCAACGATACACATGACCGCTTACTTTAAAAGTGTCCATTTGCAATTGTAATTTAGAATTGCACGCAATTGCATCGCACTTTGGACTGGGGTAAACAAAAAGCTTGGCGTGTTTTTGATATCCGACCTCCAGCGAATAACCAAAGGTGTGAGTGGGCCAGTATATTGTGCAACACCGACATAACATAACCGTGCCTTGACATTGTTGATCTCATACTCGGCGCTCCGTGCCAAAGCCATTGCAGGTAGCATGGCGGTCAAGAGGCTCGCTAATCGACCGTAGAATATGAATAGCTTACACAAGGATAAACACCTCCATAAACTGTTCATTTTAGTGGAAGGAGAGCATACTATCCAAAGCTATTCTGTTGAGATGTCACGTCCGTGTAAGACCGCGCCGACGGCACTTCAGTAACAATCAGTTCGCCAATAACTTTAAGTGGTGACAAATATGCGAACATAAAAAATATATATGTCCAGAGAGTTGAAATGGTCTGCGTTACGCACTTAGAGGAGCGAGTGCGTGATGCGTGCTCGATGCGAACGAGTGTGTCGGGCAAGGTCGCTGCCAACGAATCACTAGTACCACCAATTTGACACTACTCACCTCCACTTATTGGACAAAGTGGAACGTGTAAATGAAGAAACGAAACGCTACCCTGTAATCATTTAACAAGCATCGACTGTGATGAAACAGATGTCATATTTGAAGGTAAAATCAATTCAGACATCGAGTAGATTTGGTGACAGGTTAATGCACTCAGAGAAAATTTTAAAAATAAACAAGGGTCTATTAGAGGGCAGAAA